TTTATAAAATTAAAAATAAGTTAATTTAGTCACAAAGCAAATAAGCTGTTTGCCTTTATAGGACCAAATTCGTTTAAACAGTTTGGTACTTTTTCTTTCATCAAATAGTACTTTTTTGGAATTTTCTTTAATATTAAACCTAGAAACATAAAATTTAACATAACTGAATGAGAAACTTTATAAAAAGACTCGAAGGTACTTTTTCGTTATTCAGAAGGTACTTTTTGAATGTTCTATAATAGGTACTTATTAAATGAGTTTCTTTAAAAAAGATGTTCTTGGTACTTTTTTATCTCTTAAATGGCACTATTTTAAATGTTCTATAATATTATATATACATTTTTACTGACAGGGTCCAGACTGAATAAATATCTATAAGAGGGACCCTGATTGAATAAAAATCTTTAAGAGGCAACTTTTTGGTACTTTTTTCGTTTATCAAATAGTACTTTTTAGAATTTTCTTTAATATTAAACCTAAAAATATAAAATTTAGCATGATTAAATGGGAATCTTTATAAAAAGACTCGAAGGTACTTTTTCGTTCTTCAAATGGTACTTTTTGGATGTTCTATAATAGGAAATTAAGTACACAAGGTACTTTTTCATCCCTTAATTGGTACTGTTTTAAATTTTCAAAAATATTATGTATACATTTTTACTGACAGGGTCCTGATTGAATAAAAATCTTTAAGAGGCAACTTTTTGGTAGTTTTCTGTAATATTGAACCTAGAAACATGAAATTTAACATGATTAAATGAGAAACTTTATCAAAAGATTCGAAGGTACTTTTTCGTTCTTTAAATGATACTTTTTGAATGTTCTATAATAGGAAAAGATAACTTTTTGGTACTTTTTCCTATTCGGTTTATTACCGTGCAAAGTCCCATAAATTTTTAGAGAATTTTGAAAAAAGCCTTCCTTCCCCCCAAAAAAGTTTGATATTGAAAACTAAAAGATTTTAAATTAAAGGGCGGCATTAACAAAACTTTATTTTAACAAATAATATCAGTGATTTTTTTGTGGTTTTGTAATAAAAATTTTTCAAGATTATTATTAATTTTTTGTTGAAAAAACATATTGCACAAAAAAAAAAAACAAAAAGCCGCTTAATTATCAGTTTTTGTTTTTGTCTTTTCCCTCGCTTTTTAACAAATAAGCGTTTTTTTTTCTTCATTTACAATAAATTTCACACTGACCTACAATTTTACAAACTTAAGCACTTTAAACAATTTACACATGCAACTAAAATAAATGAAAAAAAAAAATATGATGATGATAACAAAAAAATACAAAAATTAATTTAAAAAAAAAAACACAACAAAAAGAGTTTTAAAATATTAAAAAAATACATATTTGATAAAAAAAATTTTAGGAAAAAAAATAAAACAGGGGATTATTTTATTACACAATAATATCACAACTAATTACTTTATACTTAAATTTATAAATTTAAAAAATTTCTTTATAATTATTATAAAATTTTGCAAAATTATTTTCAACCAGTTTTTTGTTAATAATACTTGATAAATTTGCGTCTTAAAATTTGTATACATTTTTTTTTGTTTATTAATGATTCATATTTCTTAGAAAGTTGTTAATTTAAAATATTTTTGTAGTTTTTTTTTATCTAACATTTTAAATGTTAAAATTTCTGCTTGTTTTTGTTATAAACAAAATGCAAATGTAAACAAATTTTATAAATAAATTTAAAATATTGCAAAAAGCTATAAAATACTTAAGTTAAAGGCACCAGTTTGTGCAAAAATTTGAAAGCTTTGCTAAAATATATTTTTAACTAATGTAAATAAACAATATTTAGAAAAGAACATATGGCAAAAAAAAAAAAAAAAAACAATAGAAAACTTTATTAGAATAATAATATTTAGACAGTAAAGGTTAAAACAACAAGAACTAAAGAAAAAAAAAAACAAAAATAGAATTTTCTGAAAAATTTTTTAAATTCACTTAAATCGTCATAAAATCAACATAAATGTCCCGATTTTAAGTAATAATATGCCATTTTATTTGCTACCTATTTAGCTTTCAGATCCATTAATCTAATCGTAATTCGGAGTCTTATACGATTTTTAATGAATTTTTAAAAATTAAAAATTTTTCAAATTTGTCTTTACCTTAAAATGTCCTAACTTCGATTAAATCGTCATAAAATCAACATTTGTGCTTCGTTTTTAAGAAATAGCATGTCATTTTATAGGCCACCTATTTAGCTTTCAGAATCATTAATTCAATCCCCATTCGGAGTCTTATTCGAATTTTTATGAATTTTTGAAAATTAAACATTTTTCAAATTTGACTTTCCCTAAAAATGTACTAACTTCACATAAATCGTTATAAAATCAACATTTATGCCCCGATTTTAAGAAATAATATATCATTTTATTTGCCACCTATTTAGCTTTCTGGTCCATTAATCTAATCTAAATTCGAAGTCATTTTCGATTTTTATTGAATTTTTAAAAATTAAACATTTTTTTTAATTTGCATTTGTAGCAAAATGAGTTATCTGACATAATTACGAATAAAATCAATATTAATTGCTCGAATTGGATATAATATATTTAATTATATTTGTATTATATCTAAGTTTGACGTCCTTTGAAAAGATTTACATTTTGGTTAATTTTCGATTTTTAAGGAATTTTTAAATTTAAAAATTTTTCAATTTGTCATTTCTAACAAAATGACCTATCTTGAGAAAATTGTTGATAAAATCAATATTTGTTAAAAGATTTTAATAAATTATACATCATTTTATTTGCAACATTATTAGCTTTCATATCCCTAAATAAAAATTAACATTTTTTATACTTTTCGATTTCTTACGAATTTTCGAAAATTGAAAATTTTTTCAATTTAGCTTGAAAAAAATTTTACTTCAAAACTTTCGAAAAAGATATCTTCATGATTCTGAAGCCGATTAAGAAACAGTATGGACTTAAAAGAAAGATAATTTGTTTAAGAATTTATTGGTTTTTATTTCAAACAAATCGGTTGTATAGATCCCGAGTTATGCTCAACTATGTTGAACAACCTTGTTAATAAATTTTCCAAAGCAGAATCTTTGTTTTTACTCTCTTTAAACTTAATTTAGTTTTATAAGAGATTTATAATAATTTGTCTTAAACTACTTTATTTCACAGATATTAAAGTACAGTAGTTTTCCGATTTAACGAACGTATATGTTGTCAGGCCAGTTCGTTAAAGTGAATTGTTCGTTATATGCAGTACTAACTTAAAAGTGGGTTTTTGTCATGTGAATAATTAAAAAAAAACATTAAAATATTTATAAAAGTATATTTTATAAAAAAATGTATTTATTTAATAGAAACAAAAACAAAAAAAGGAACAATTCATGTCACATTTAGAGTTAGATATACAAAAAACATAAATAAAAGGCAATTCTTTTATAAAAGTAAAAAAATCTATTTAAAAAAACGATTTAGCAATGTTTGTTTTTTTGGTATGGAAATTTGCTTTTTAATAGCCTCTTCTTGAAGCTCTCTTAAAACCATTGATTTTGAGTAATCTATATTATTTTGCTCTGTCCATTTAATGCAGGCTTCAAAATGTTTGACTGCATCCGCATGATTTATTTTTGGATCTAAGTTTTCGGCTTCGACAATATCCTCATCATTTTGAATTTCATCTTCATCGACGTCTTCAGGTGGGGTAATGTTTTCAACCCAGCTGTTTAAATCATCTACTGATATGTCTGCCTGTAAATGTAAATCATAAAATTTATTATAGTTTGAGAAAATTTCTTAAATCTATGACTTACTGTAGGAAAAATTGATCTTAACAATTGAACTCCAGTTTCAACTGCAATTGTATCTTCGTCATGGCGTAAATACGAAGCAAAAGGGAGATCATCTTCTTCATCAAAGTGGTAATTTTCCCTTAAAATCTTGTTCCAGCATTTTGCCAAAGAAGACTCAGACACACTTTTCCAAGCTGATGCCAATATAATCGTTGCTTCAAATAAATTAAATTGCTTTAAAAACAAAGATACATTTTGCTCCGGTGTTGAAAAGAGTCGAGACAATAGACTGTTTTTATAATGTAATTTAAGCAAGCGAATTGCATTCTGATCCATGGGTTGGATCAATGGGGTTACATTAGGGGGCATATAATGCGCCCAAATTTTGCCACTATGAGTTTGTTTTACCAATTCCTCTGCAGGAGGATGAGAGGGTGCATTATCCAAAAGGAGAATAGCATTTAGAGGCAAATTGTTTTGTGCTAGAAACTCTTCTACCTAAAATTTAAAATAAAATAAGACTAAGTTATAAAAATGTATGTATGAACTTACCTGGGGTACAAAATTGTTGAAAAACCATGTTTTGAATAGTGTACATGTTATCCAAGCATTTTTCGAGTGGGTATAATCCACAGGCAACGTTTTATTCCGAAATGCACGAGGACTTCGTGATTTTCCAATTAGCAAAGGTTTAATTTTTTTCGAACCACTGGCATTACTACAAACCAAGACTGTGATTCGTTCCTTTGATATTTTTCGGCCCGGCGCACTCCTTTCTCCGGAATGAACATATGTTTTGTCAGGTAAAACTTTCCAAAATAACCCGGTTTCATCCGCATTGAAAATTGCGTCTTTCGGCAAGTTATTTTCTAGAATAATTTGGTTTAATTTTCTTTTAAATGGCTCCACTTCTTGTGCATCTGACGAAAGTTTCTCTCCACTTTGTTTTAAAAGCCGAATGCCATACCTATTTTTAAATCTGGTCAACCACCCGTGGCTGGCATTGAAATCGCCACCATATAATTTTTTATGAATTTCCTTGGCTTTGAATTGTAAAATTGCACCAGTTATGGGATTATGACAACGCCGCTGTCTTTGAAACCAAGAAAAGAGCCGGTTTTCCATTATGGGGAATTCACCCTGTTTAATAGCCTTTCTATTTTTGCTCCAAAAATTTGTAGTTTCCGCATTTTTCAGAAGATTCTCCTTAGATTTTAAAATGGTACAAATTGTGGATTTTTTTATACCATACTTTTTATACAAATCTGTTACACGTAAACCATTTCGATGATCATCCACAATTTTTAATTTATCTTTTAAACAAAGTCTTTTTCTTGTACTCATTTTGATGTTTACATTAGAAAGGAATACACATAACTAATCATCATATTTTAAAAACAAACAAAAACATCAAAAGAAAACAAAAAAAACACCGCTTAAAACAACGGTAAATTTTTTGACAACATAGTTTTTTTTTTGGTAATTTTGTAAAATGTTCATTCAAATAATTTTATTAGTATTTGTTCGCTAAACTGAGTACAAAAAATAATTTTTGTTCGTTATATAAGGAACTCAATAGAAAAAATTGGTCTGTTCGTTAAACGCGATTTTCGTTAAAACGAATGTTCGTTAAACCGGAAAACTACTGTATTATTTTTCAAATTTTTAAGACTTTTTAACCATTTTTGAAATTAATAATTTTTCAAAATTATTTTCCATGATTTGTTAAATATTAAGTTAAACCCCATAATTCTCTATTATATTGGAACCAGGTTAAGGTATTTTACAAATACGTATAAATTGTAATGTAATGTTAAACAAAAATTCAAACACTTATAAAACACAAAACAATTGTAAATTACATATGCAGTCGAAAATTTAAAAAAAAAAAATTGGTCACGAATTTTTATTGTTTGAAAAAAACAACTTAAATGTAATGAGTAAAATAATGAAAAAAACGGGGAGGGTAAAGAGTTTTAAACTAACAAATAAAATTAGTTAAAATAAGTAGAGTAAAATAGTTTGAAAAAGCAAAATTTGAAAAAAATATATAAAAGTAGGTCTGTTAATATAATAGACCTAACCTCCATGTTAAATTTACCAAAAACATTTGTAAATGAATGGCAAAAAATTATACAAAAAAAGCTTTAAGTTATTACGTTTTTAATAAATATTTAATAATGATTTGTTTATTATTATTATTTTTTTTATTTTTAATTACAAACGTATTTCGTTATTTTTTTAAACGCTAGACATGTTTTTGTTTTAAAATATTGCTGCTTATCTAATCTTTTAATAAAATTGATTGCAAATAATGAATGAGAATTAATAAGAATTTCCAATACAATTGATAGAAATTGACGAAAAAAAAACACTTAACAAAACACTAGATAAATTCTTGAGGAAAGAGAAATACAAAAAAGTAGTATTTTTCAAGAATATTTAAACAATTTCAAAAATTCTTTAAAAAAACTTATAATTAACTTATAAACTATTGATAAGTAACCAATAGACCAGTCCGTAGTCTAGTCTATACTATAGACTCTATAGTCTAGTAAATAATCTCGTATATAGTACAATCTATAGTCTATTCTACAGAGTAGTCCCTAGTCTAGCCTATTGTCTAGTCTATTGTCTAGTCTATAGTCTAGTCCATAGACTAGTCTATAGTCTAGTCTACAGTCTAGTCTATAGTTTAGTCTATAGTAATCAATAGACCAGTCTGTAGTCTAGTCTATACTATAGACTCTATAGTCTAGTCTACAGTCTATCCTCTAGTTTAGTCTATATTCAAGTATATAGTCTAGTAAATAGTCTTGTATATAGTACAATCTATAGCCTATTCGACAGAGTAGTTCATAGTCTAGTCTATAGTCTAGTTTTTAGTCTAGTCTATAGTCTAGTCTATAGTCTAGTCTATAGTCTAGTCTATAGTCTAGTCTATAGTCTAGTCTATAGTCTAGTCTATAGTCTAGTCTAGTCTAGTCTATAGTCTAGTCTATAGTCTAGTCTATAGTCTAGTCTATCGTCTAGTCTATAGTCTAGTCTATCGTCTAGTCTATAGTCTAGTCTATCGTCTAGTCTATAGTCTAGTCTATAGTCTAGTCTATAGTCTGGTCTATAGTCTAGTCTATAGTCTAGTCTATAGTCTAGTCTATAGTCTAGTCTATAGTCTAGTCTATAGTCTAGTCTATAGTCTAGTCTATAGTCTAGTCTATAGTCTAGTCTATAGTCTAGTCTATAGTCTAGTCTATAGTCTAGTCTATAGTCTAGTCTATAGTCTAGTCTATAGTCTAGTCTATAGTCTAGTCTATAGTCTAGTCTATAGTCTAGTCTATAGTCTAGTCTATAGTCTAGTCTATAGTCTAGTCTATAGGCTAGTCTATAGACTAGTCTATAGTCTAGTCTATAGTCTAGTCTATAATCTAGTCTATAGTCTAGTCTATAGTCTAGTCTATAATCTAGTCTATAGTCTAGTCTATAGTCTAGTCTATAGTCTAGTCTATAGTCTAGTCTATAGTCTAGTCTATAGTCTAGTCTATAGTCTAGTCTATAGTCTAGTCTATAGTATAGTCTATAGTCTAGTCTATAGGCTAGTCTATAGACTAGTCTATAGTCTAGTCTATCGTCAAGTCTACAGTCTAGTCTATAATCTTGTCTATAGTCTAGTCTATAGTCTAGTCTATAATCTAGTCTATAGTCTAGTCTATAGTCTAGTCTATAGTCTAGTCTATAGTCTAGTCTACAGTCTAGTCTATAGTCCAGTCTATTGTCTAGTCTATAGACTAGTCTATAGTCTAGTCTACAGTCTAGTCTACAGTCTAGTCTATAATCTAGTCTATAGTCTAGTCTATAGTCTAGTCTATAATCTAGTCTATAGTCTAGTCTATAGTCTAGTCTATAGTCTAGTCTATAATCTAGTCTACAGTCTAGTCTATAGTCTAGTCTATAGTCTAGTCTATAGTCTAGTCCATAGTCTAGTCTATAGTCTAGTCTATAGTCTAGTCTATAGTCTAGTCTATAGTCTAGTCCATAGTCTAGTCTATAGTCTAGTCTATAGTCTAGTCTATAGTCTAGTCTATAGTCTAGTCTATAGTCTTGTCTATTATCTAGTCTATAGTCTAGTCTATAGTCCAGTCTATAGTCCAGTCTATAGTCTAGTCTATAGTCTAGTCTATAGTCTAGTCTATAGTCTAGGCTAGAGTCTAGTCTATAGTCTAGTCTATAGTCTAGTCTATAGTCTAGTCTATAGTCTAGTCTACAGTCTAGTCTACAGTCTAGTCTATCGTCAAGTCTATAGTCTAGTCTATAGTCTAGTCTATAGTCTAGTCTATAGTCTAGTCTATAGTCTAGTCTATAGTCTAGTCTATAGTCTAGTCTATAGTCTAGTCTATAGTCTAGTCTGTAGTCTAGTCTAGTCTAGTCTATAGTCTAGTCTATAGTCTAGTCTATAGTCTAGTCTATAGTCTAGTCTATAGTCTAGTCTATAATCTAGTCTATAGTCTAGTCTATAGTCTAGTCCATAGTCTAGTCTATAGTCTAGTCTATAGTCTAGTCTATAGTCTAGGCTATAGTCTACTCTATAGTCTAGTCTATAGTCTAGTCTATAGTCTAGTCTATAGTCTAGTCTAGTCCATAGTCTAGTCCATAGTCTAGTCTATAGCCTAGTCTATAGTCTAGTCTATAGTCTAGTCCATAGCCTAGTCTATAGTCTAGTCTATAGACTAGTCTCCAGTCTAGGCTATAGTCTAGTCTATAGCCTATCATATAGTCTAGGCAATAGTCTAGTCTATAGTCTGGTCTATAGTCTAGTCTACAGTCTAGTCTATAGTCTAGTCTTAAGTATACACTATAGTCTTGCCTATTGTCTGGTCTATAGTCTAGTCTATAGTCTAGTCCACAGTACAGTCTTGTTTGTAGTCTATAAACTACTCTTTTCGTTAGAAGTTAGTACTATTTCCAAATTTCACTTTTCCATGCCTGATTTGAGCCATCATTCTTGTGCATATACCTTTATTTGTGGTTTTGTTTTGTTTTTCAAACTTTACAGTTTTACCACTAACTCTCTCCCTCTCTCTTTTCCCCCTGTTACATTACTATACTCATTGATCAGCTAGTCTACCTTTACATTAACAAGCAAAAAAAAAAGAAAACGTAAAACAAAACAAAGAACAAGCAACGTGCAGTGTTGTATACAGAAGAAAAGGTAAATAACGTAACTAAAACAACAACTATAAAAAAAGTTGTTTTCTTCTTAAAGATGTTGTTTTTGGCTGTAGATATAATTTTCGGTAATCAATCATTGGAGAAGGTTAAATTTTGTTTTTGGATTGTAGCTGATAAAAAGACGTACAGAAAAATCAAAAATAAATAGAGAAACATTAAAGTAAGAAAATAAGATAAAAAAAAATCCCAAAAATTTAAAAGAATCCATACATGTAACTTAACCTTTCCAATATGGCTGATGTTTATGACAGATACATATTTTTTGTTTTTTTTGACAAACAAATTATTATCTCAATTTTTTGTTAAGGGATCTACTTTAATCTCTTTTTAAAAAGAAAATAAATGTCTTTTTTTCTAAAAAGCAGATAAATAATTTTATTTAAATTTCTTTAGAAATTAAATAAATGACAGATAAGTTTATCGGAATGTTTACAAATGTATAGAGAGAGCGTAAATGTCACTATAGTTATTGACAAATTGTTAAGATACAAATATGACAAAACAAAGATCAAATGACAGTTAATGACAAATGTGTTAATTATTAATGAAATGCAACAAAAACAAAACAAACTAAAGAAGAAATTTTAGAAAATATGGACCTAATTTTTACTTTCTTTAAAAAAACTCGAATTTTTTGTAAAATTTTCTTTAAAACTCTTGTGTTAAAACGGAGAGTCAAAGTCCAGACCCCAAAATATACTTTTCTAAAGAATTTACATGTACTGGTACCGAATCTGGACTCATTATTTAACCATTACAGGTTTTCAAGATATCGTGTCATAATTTTTCAATAAACTCCCTCTCTGGTTAAATTCATTAAGATCACTACTGTGTAATTGATTAAGATCACTTCTAAACTTACCCGAATGATGTCCAGCATCATCATCGTCATCATCACCATGTAAATGATCATGATGATCATGCGACAGTTCCTTATCCGAGGGACTACTACAGCTACTATCTATATTACGTATAGTACCCTCTCCCATCGATGAGGCATTCGAATTATCCTGTATTAATGTCTCCGTAGCCGAACAATTCTCCTCATTAGCCGAGCATGAAGTAACAACATCGGATATTTTAAAACGTTCGCGTATTAATTCGGGACATTTTTCCGCACGAAAATATGAATCCAATTCATCGAGTGCCAATGGACAGACATCGTATTGTAAATAGAAATCTTTACCCCAACTACCGGTACAGAAAGTAGTACCGCTAGAGGAGTTACTGCCTGTATTTGGGCCATGCATTTGTTGTTGATGTTGTGAGGCAATGGATTTTAAAAGCGAGTTACTGCGCGATAATTTGGTCGAATGGGCGCGACGTATAAAGGAGAGAGATTTTTTGGCGGGTGAGGTAATTTGATGAGGATGTGGTGGATAGTTTTTGGTATTATTGGCGTTAGGTGGTGAGGTTAGGGAATTATCCGAATTGGAGGACATGGAATTTGTTAATTTCGGGGTAGATTTCAAAAGAAACAAATTCTTGGGTGGAAATGCAGTGGTTATTATAGTATTTGTTTTGGCATTTTTTGCACTATCACGATTCAAATGACACGCTTGACTGCCACCAAATTTACGATTTAAAGAGGCCGATGTTTCCAGAGGAGATTTTTTCGATTTTATATTATTAGTGGTAACCGTTGTTGAGGTTGAAGCGGCGTGATCTAATGCTTCACCTTGTTTTAAAGCAACTGAGGGCGATAAATTTTGCGGCAAAGTTTTCGCTTTAATACGCAAAACACAGGGAGTAGATGTAACCATATTGTTAGATATGGTTTTGGTGGGTGTAGTGGTAGTTATTGAAGTATTTGTGTTTTGTTTAGTATTAGTGTTTGTTGAAGTGGAAGCTTTTATTTTGGCGACATTGATTAGATTTTGCTCAGAGCTTTGTAGATGTTTAGACGCCATAGAAACTGAAGATGTTTGAGAGGAGGAGCAGGAGGTGGGGGAGTTGTTACTGTTTGAGGGTACTGATAAGATGTTGGTACGCGAGCGTGATTTCATCATTTTAATGGGTGTCGATGTATTGGTCTGCATGCGACTTATCTCTGAATCATCGTCATCATCGTATTCCGTATTGCAATTTTGTATTGGTGTTGTTGGTGTCGCTGGTGTTGACTTAAGAGTAGTGGCTGTGCTGTTGTCTCTCATTTTAATGGGGGTTTGTTTTGTATTGGTTTTACTACGTTGTGTATGAATTGATGACGTTGTATTGGGGGTTACCACTATATCATTTTCCTCATTAAACTGGGTTCTTGGTGCCGGGGAAGGCCATTTGTTCGAGTTGGAACTTTTATAGGAGCTAGAGGATTTGCGCGCCTCTGTAGTATTCAATTGTTCGGATATTGTTGATCCTAAGGAGCTTCGTGGAGAGTTTGAGTCATCTAGTCCATTTAAAACTATGCCATAGCGTTTAGTTCTGGCTGTAGATTGCGATTGGGCTCTTTGCTTGGCTATGGGAGTGGAATGATTGTTGCTTGCGTTAGTCTGCAGCAGGGATTTATTACTTATGGAACTTAATCTATTGGTAGAGGTGGTCTTGGCCGAACTTAACGATGTTTTGCTAGATCTCTTGTTACTATTTAGTGTGTTATTAGTAGAGGAAGTTTCCTTAACCGGTGTATTAGTTATAGTGGACTTGGGTGTCTTATTTTTATGCATGGCTATAATAAACTCGGCCGCATCACTATCATCATCCAAATCGGCTGACATATCATCTGTTACCCCACTTAAACTCCAATTAAAACCACAGGGTGGAGCCATTTTCTTAGAACTCTTAGAACTACCACTTCTATAGCCCGAAGAAGCGGTAGAGGAGTTAGAGGAAGTGGTGCTAAAACCCAAAGTACTATTAGCTCTTTCAAATAGTAAAGTAGTAACCTTAACAGAAGTGGTGGCACTTCTAGGGGAACCCGTTAGCTGTTTACTACTACTGGGTTTGAATATAGTAGAAGAGGATTTCTTTAAGTTAATATTACTAGAATTTTTCAAATCCTTGCTACTAGTAGAATGACTAGCTAAACTGGACAAACTGCCACTAGTAGAGCTTTTATCAACTTCGTCGTTATGCTGGCCAGAGGTTTCCGGTTCGTCGTCTTCTATAACCAAGGGCACATAAAAGGTAGATCTTCGGCGCTGTTGTTTTTCCTCTGAAGATGATGTTGTGGAGCTAATAGTAGTGGGTGTAGAGGGTGTTACAGAAGACAAAGAGGTATTGGAACGATTTAAGGAAGTAGTATCCAAAGACTGCAACATTTTCTTTTATTGATTTTAGGAGTTTCTTTTAAGAAAATTTATATATTTTTACAATGCCACATATTTTTGGAGATTTTTTTTTTAACAAATCTTGTTAATTTTTTATATTTTTTAACTTGTACACTTTATTTAAATATATGGCAACACTGGTTTTGGTTTGGGTTTTGTTAATAATTGTGGCAAACTTCACTTATTTTATTAAAATAGTAAATTTTTTTCTTTAAAATTATAAATTAATAATTTAGTTTTGTTTTTTATAATTTCTAAAATATGGCCACTTTTTTCTAAATTCAAAATTTTTCTTCTTTAACTAAAATTAATTTTTCTTTTCTCTTTTCCACTTGTTTTTGTTTTTATTTCATATTTTGCGTAAAATTCTTAAGCATTTTATTACTGAAACTAAAATTTCTTTAGCTACTCTTCACTCTATGTATCCAAATTGTAAAAAACTGGCTGTGCAACTTCTTCAAAGAAACCACTAGACCTTTTAAATTCTTTTTGAAAGAAATTTAGCTGCCTATATAGCAAAGTGCAGTTTTCTTTTTAAACTTAAAAAATTCGTTTAAAACATTTTTTGTTTTAGTATTATATGTTAATAAATTTCTTTTAAATTCTTAATCCAAATATTTGTTTAATTTTTTTCTTATTATATTTTGTTTTATCACTTCACTCGCTTTATCGTTTTATATCAAAACTTCTCTTTATGAACAACCGCACTCAACTGAAAACGCAATTCAAATTGCGCCACCACTTCACTCAATTCTTATAGTCAATAAAATGAGTAAAAAGTAAAAGAGTGTGAAACACTCTTTCACTCTCTTTGTTTATAAGATCATTGAGTTAACTGGAGTGTGTTTTTTATGGAGGAAAATGGGCTGCCAGATGTTAAATGTTAATGGAATTTAGCAGGGAAATGGGAATTTCTAACTTGGTTTGAATGTGACTCCAACAGGAATTAACATAAATTCCTTTAGCTTAAAGGCACATAGGGCGATATCAGCCGAGCAAATAGCTAAACCACTCGTCACATAAAAGACTGAATAAAAACACGGGCGAACAAACACTATACATACTATCAATTGAAATAATGAGACGATTGGTAGCACTACTAAAATCCTATGGGGTGACCCTTAATGAGAGCAGGACACAAGAGAAGCCTCTTCAGTATTACATTTTATAAAAGAATATTATTTTATTGCAATAATTTTATGTATATATCTTTAATTTAAACATTTCTCTAAACTTTTTATTTGAAAACTTTCTCTATGAAATGATTCATTCTTTTTTTATTAAAAAAAGATGAGTAAAGGTACCAATAAAAATTATCTTAAAAATTCCTTTATTAATCTGGCAATCTGCAGAGTGTAGATTACAAAATAGATGCAGTAATCACTGTTGCCAACTTTTTTCCCAAAAATATCGCTAAAGTCGACTGAAAAATAGTTAGAAAATAGCAAAATTCAAGACATTTTGAAAAATTTAGCGATAAATCGTCAAAATAATATTTATTATATGATTCTGAAAAGAAATAGCTAAAAAAACTAGCTAAATTTTTCAGATTTTTTATATTATTCTAAAAAGTCAGCGATTTATCGCTAAAATCTATATACATACGTAGGAATGGGATAGTAATACAAAAACATCTTATAACAAACACATAAGAGAATATTTTTTTATGTTAAATATTTTCACTTTGGGTTAGGAAAAATGTCAAGTTGAGGTTAATTTCGATATGCGACCCTATACAGATTGCTTTAGAAATGTTGTAAAGATAAATTGAATTTCGAAATGCTGGCCTTTATGGATCGATCCCTTATTTTCGGCATAAGAGTATTATTTATTTTTCCATTACAATACAATTACAAATTATATTCTAACCTAATTTACCGAGCAGGGTGACGATAACCATACGACCGTTGTAGTGTAGCAGACCAGGATCTCTGCTGGGAATCGAACCCACAACCCCCAGATTGACAGGCTAGCACACTACCAACTAGCCTACCGGGGCACCCAAGATTATTATTATACACTCCTTTTGTGGGAAGTTTATCTGCAATATCGATATGCGGCCCTATACGCCTTAAAAATGTTGTAAATTTTTAGGACTTTATGGATCGATCCTTTCGTCACTTATTTCCATGTTCACTAATTTTTAGAATTATGGTAAATTTTATTATCATATCACTCATTTACTAAAAGACTAGAATAATTAAATATTCGTTTTTTAATTGAGTACAACAAAATATACCCCTTTTAAAGTTTTTCGTATAACTTTACCTGCACGCACAAATTTTTGCTCCTAATTATGTTCTTCAGAACATTCAAAATAAGTATAATACACACAGCTAAAACTCAAATAATTTACATTGAATGCATATTTTTATATACATATGTAAATATCGTCATTCGTAGTAACTTTTAAGCGATATTATCAAAATATAAATGAATAAAAAATGCCTTAAAATCTAAAGAAAAATCGCTAGATTTCCCGCTAATAGCTAAATCATATTTTTCCCCGCAAAATGGGATTAAAAATCGCCAGATTTGACGAGAAAATAGCTAAATTGGCAACAGTGGCAGTAATAAATACAAACAAAAATTAATAATAAACATTGACTGCTCTCTTCTTAAAGCAAACACGCTCACTTGCTCAAAGAAGCGAATGCGCTCTTTGAGTAGTTTATAGACAAACAATAAGACAGAGTTGTAAATAAAGCGTATTTAAATAAACAATAAGAAAATTAGTACTATTTTTAAGAAGAAAAAGGAATAGAACATGAATACTTGTTTCTTTAGAAGAAACATTTTCAGAAATTTTCATGATTTGGTGAAATTGGGAAATTTTCAAATAAATACTAAAATAACTAACTAACTAACTAACTAACTAACTAACTAACTAACTAACTAACTAACTAACTAACTAACTAACTAACTAACTAACTAACTAACTAACTAACTAACTAACTAACTAACTAACTAACTAACTAACTAACTAACTAACTAACTAACTAACTAACTAACTAACTAACTACTAACTAACTACTACTAACTAACTAACTAACTAACTAACTAACTAACTAACTAACTAACTAACTAACTAACTAACTAAACTAACTACTAACTAACTAACTAACTAACACTAACTAACTAACTACTAAACTAACTAACTAACTAACTAACTAACTAACTAACTAACTAACTAACTAACTAACTAACTAACTAACTAACTAACTAACTAACTAACTAACTAACTAACTAACTAACTAACTAACTAAGTCTAGTCTATAGTCTAGTTTATAGTCTAGTCTATAGTCTAGTCTAAAGTCTAGTCTATAGTCTAGTCTATAGTCTAGTCTATGGTCTAGTATATAGTCTAGTCTATAGTGTAGTGTATAGTTTAGTATATAGTCTAGTCTATAGTCTAGTCTATAGTCTAGTCTATAGTCTAGTCTATAGTCTAGTCTATAGTCTAGTCTATAGTCTAGTCTATAGTCTAGTCTATAGTCTAGTCTATAGTCTAGTCTATAGTCTAGTCTATAGTCTAGTCTATAGTCTAGTCTATAGTCTAGTCTATAGTCTAGTCTATAGTCTAGTCTATAGTCTAGTCTAGTCTATAGTCTAGTCTAGTCTAGTTTATAGTCTAGTCTATAGTCTAGTCTATAGTCTAGTCTATGGTCTAGTATATAGTCTAGTCTATAGTGTAGTGTATAGTTTAGTATATAGTCTAGTCTATAGTCTAGTCTATAGTCTAGTCTATAGTCTAGTCTATAGTCTAGTCTATAGTCTACTCTATAGTCTAGTCTATAGTCTAGTCTATAGTCTAGTCTATAGTCTAGTCTATAGTCTAGTCTAGTCTATAGTCTAGTCTAGTCTAGTCTAGTCTAGTCTATAGTCTAGTCTATAGTCTAGTCTGTAGTCTAGTCTGTAGTCTAGTCTATAGTCTAGTCTATAGTTTAGTCTACAGTCTAGTCTATAGTTTAGTCTAGTCTATAGTCTAGTCTATAGTCTAGTCTATTGTCTAGTCTATAGTCTAGTCTATAGTCTAGTCTATAGTCTAGTCTATAGTCTAGTCTATAGTCTAGTCTATAGTCTAGTCTATAGTCTAGTCTATAGTCTAGTCTATAGTCTAGTCTATAGTCTAGTCTATAGTCTAGTCAATAGTCTAGTCTATAGTCTAGTCTATAGTCTAGTCTATAGTCTAGTCTATAGTCTAGTCTATAGTCTAGTCTATAGTCTAGTCTATAGTCTAGTCTATAGTCTAGTCTATAGTCTAGTCTATAGTCTAGTCTATAGTCTAGTCTATAGTCTAGTCTATAGTCTAGTCTATAGTCTAGTCTATAGTCTAGTCTATAGTCTAGTCTATAGTCTAGTCTATAGTCTAGTCTATAGTCTAGTCTATAGTCTAGTCTATAGTCTAGTCTATAGTCTAGTCTATAGTCTAGTCTATACTATAGTCTAGTCTATAGTCTAGTCTATAGTCTAGTCTATAGTCTAGTCTATAGTCTAGTCTATAGTCTAGTCTATAGTCTAGTCTATAGTCTAGTCTATAGTCTAGTCTATAGTCTAGTCTATAGTCTAGTCAATAGTCTCGTCTATAGTCTAGTCTATAGTCTAGTCTATAGTCTAGTCTATAGTCTAGTCTAGTCTAGTCTGTAGTCTAGTCTATAGTCTAGTCTATATTCTAGTCTATAGTCTAGTCTAAAGTCTAGTCTATTCTAGTCTATTAGAAAATAAAATTAAAGTCCCCTTAATAACATTACTTATTGTGGCATTTTTAATTTCTTTTATTAAAGTTTTCCATGGCAACTTTTAAAGTCCAAAACAAAACTAGTAAATTACATATTTACCCCGAGAGGGTGTTTTCTGTACAACAAAAGGGGGTTGCAACTAACATGTATATATTTGTCAACTCCTATTTTTGCAAAATCAAAAAATGATGACAGATAAAAAAAGCGAAATATTTGCCTAACAAAAAAAGTTGCGTACTTTTGCAATTTGTTTTTATCAAAATCGTAGAATAGCAACAAAATAGTGATTGTTTAACAATTGTCTATATTGGAAAAAAAACAATAAAGAATTTGTTAAGCGAAAGCTGTTCCAGCCACCTTTTCGTTGTTTTCAAAACAAAATTTCAAAAAATTTACTTACTTTACATACAAATGACATGCGTCATCAGTTTAATTGGGTTCGCAAAAAAATAAAGGTGTAAAGCAAGCAACAAAAAAGAATTTCAACAAAAACAAAAAAGACCCACTACTAAGCTAAAAAAAAGTACAAGTTCAGTATAAAGTATAAAAATTGGAATGAACTAAAAAAATGGTCGATATATTATAAAAGAAACAGACATCAAGAGACACCAGTCTGCTGAAAACAGCTGCTGCTTAAAGCTAAAGATCTTTAAACTGAACGTGCCCTTTAAAATAATGATCAGTTTTATTAGGAGAAATAAATTATATGTTAAAGAAAATTAACTTTAAAATGAAATTAAGTTAATAACTCAAAAAATGGAAATCTAAAAGAAATTCAAAAAGAATTTTAACACTAATTAAAGGAAATTTTTTAAAATTAAGCCATAAAAAAAAGTAATTTTTTAAACACCTTTATTTAATTAGCTAAAAAATTTTAAAAAATTTTGAAAATGTGTCACTTTAATGTCAATTTTTGTGCTCTATATGACCTCTACACAAGTCCTTAACTAATATTTTTCAAA